ATCAAGATCAGTGTATTTATAGATGAAATACCTGAGTTGTATTAAACGGGAGTCTAAAGTTTCATTAATTCATTTAAATGTAAGAGTTTTCTAAAAATCCACATCTTGTTGTTGTTTTTTTTTACTGGTTTGATTATTATTTTGTAATTATTAGTGGCGTTATAAATCTCAAATCTCACCATTTGGATGTTTTTTTTTGGGGTTTTTTTTTTGTCACGGGTTGGACCATTTTTTTATATCAGCCAAAAAAGCGACGAGACTAATATAATGTGCTTTTCATTTATTACAGAAACAGTACTGCAAGACACTTGGTTTTAACAAACAGAACTTAGAACCTGTATTTCTTTTAAAAATAAAATGAAAAAAATAATCAGTGGAATAAAAATAAATTGTAAAATATTCAGTACTGTGAAAAATTTACTGTTACTATTGTTGCTGATGACACTGAATGTATAAATCTAACATTATAATTCATACAACCCATATTTATTTTTAATCTTGTTTTTAATAAATGATTCAGTTATTCACTCAACTTTGTTTCATTGCTAGATTTGTTATTTTTAAAGATTTATTCAGTGGCATATTTGTGACGGCTGGTAAAATAATGTAGTTGTTGCCTACAACTTTCATTTTTGAGCATTGTTAAATGCATATGATGGTGATTTTAATCTTTACCATAAACATCAGTGGTTTTATCTAAACTATAAACTGTTATTCCAGTACTTCTGTGTTATTTGACTGTTTGGAACTTCATAACTAACTCAAAAGACTAAAACCTGTTTCTCTCTTTAGATTTTTGCGTTTTTCAAACACAGATTTGAATGCAGCGATTTGAAGGATTAATAAACAAATCATCATCATTTATAATTTATGTTGTGTGGGTGTTGAGATCCCGAACTTTAAATAATTAATCATGCAGGCTAAACAAGTAGTGACAGAAAACACCTTTAATAGCCTAAGAAACCCACCACATCTCGGATAACCCATCACAACTACTTCCGCCATCTTTATATTTTACAGGAAAGCTTAAATGCTTTCATATATGTGATCTGAATTATGTGAGAGGAGATCTCTCTCTCTGCAATTGCTACAATTATAGGGGGTTATACCAGTAAAAATGTATTTATCCGCAGGCCACATATGTTTAGAACTGTGGGTTGTGATTCGTATGAATCACAGATCAACCGTGATCTGTTATACCCCTAGTAGGTCTCTTTATTCTGAACCTATCCTATGGGTAGTCGGGTGAATAAATTATCTTGTGCATTGTTATACTGTAAAATATGTGAAACCTGATGTGAAAAAGTTGCGATGAGCTCTTAATCTATGGAAAGAGTCTTAAAAGGTATTGAATTTCACTCTCAGATTCCTGTATACCCTGTTATTAATAGAATCGTTTATAAAATTATTAATACCCAATCCTTTTTTTCCCCTTGTTTGTTTGTTGTTTACTGTGCTTTTGACAGCATCGCATTAATGTCTCTCTGGTCTAGGGTGAAATGCAGCACATCAACTCCTATTCTGAATGCTGGAGGAATGCTGTCAGCAATGCAAGATGTGGGATCTGTGAATGCTGATTGCAAACAGGAAAGCGAGGTGTCTTTGCTTTTTGGCTCTACACCAAAGCAGCCTCTTATAGAACGGACCATAGAAAAACCTCTGCTGGTTCGCAAACGTAGCAGGGGCCAGAGTGATTTCCCTTGGAGCAACAGGGACAGCTTGTGTGAACAATCAGATGTTCCAGAAAAGTCCCAGTCCAAGCGTGGATCCTTTGAATGGGAATTGCACTCCCAATCTGCTTTACATAAGTCTGAGGGTGCATCTTTTCTCAGCAGAGAACAGAACTATGGATCTTATACACTTGAATGCAGGACAGAGCAGCAAAACAGGACAAATCCTGACGTGCACCCAGCTCAGCAGTTCAGTGAAAGAAACTACGAATCAGTAACCAGAATTGAAACCTTTAGGACTAACTGCAGTGAAATAATTTATGCACAAAGTATGCCCGAAAATCAAGTTGAAAATTCAGCTCTTTGGACCAGCACAGAACCCAAACCGGACGCTGACAGTCCCTCTATTTCCCTGCAAAGAAAAGTTCGAAGCGTCAGACCCAGAAGACAAAAGCAAGTATCAGCCTCGCACATCGAATCCAGTCACAGACGAGAATCATTGAGGTCTTTTTCACGTGATCAGTCTGTGCAGAAGAGTGAAAAGCCTCCAGCTTCTCTGCTGGATTTATGGAAGCTCTTTCAGTCTAGTGACAGTTTGGATGAAGAGTTTATGGGGTTTTCAGATTAAAAACAAGTGGAGAACACGCATGTATGTGTGTTCTAATATGATTCACTTTGCCAAATTATATATTAATAGATCTGATCTTTCTTTCACCAGTAGGATGAAACCAAATTCACTCCGTAGAGGCCTTAAAAAAATTGATTATAGATATGAAAAATATCTTGTGAATAAGTGTGTGTGTGTGTGTGTGTGTGTGTGTGTGTGTGTGTGTGTGTGTGTGTGTGTGTGTGTGTGTGTGTGTGTGTGTGTGTGTGTGTGTGTGTGTGTGTGTGTGTGTGTGTGTGTGTGTGTGTGTGTGTGTGTGTGTGTGTGTGTGTGTGTGTGTGTTTATGTATATACATATACATGAGGCTAAAAGACGTGGAGACACACAGTGAGTATGTACATTGGTTGTATATTGATTGAAGAATATAACAGCTTTTATATATGTCTGGGAATGATTTTCTTGATTAAATAGAAAATATTCACCAATGTTTTGTAAGCATCACCTTTCTTCCAGAGCACTAGTCATTTGCACTTGCACTTTTTTTTTACTAACCGTATATAGCATTCAACATTTGAAGTGGATCAAAACCTTTCATTAAAGTTGTCCTAAAGCTATTGAATAACACCCATTCAACTTTTCTGATGCATTTCGAGTGTTGACTACTGTATAAGTTTTCATTTATTCTCTCTCTCTGTCTTCAGTTTTTTTTTTCAACTGAATTATTATTCAATATATATTAAACTGTTCAAATGCCTGTTAAAAGAAATTAATATGGCCACTTGCACAGTTGGTAAATACCGTTACATTGTTGAAATAGGATCTTTCAGATCAGTTTTGTTCTTTGTTAGTTTTCCTCACTATTCTAACTGTTCATAAAGTCTTTATGAAGATTTTAAGCCTCTGTTATCAACATTTATTAGGCTTTTTTTCTTAAGTAAATGATTTCTGCACTAAGGACTAGAATTTTTATGCAAACAATTCCACGTCAATAGGAGTGCATATAGTGCAGTTAACCATAAAGAAAATATCAAATAATTTAGGTCATTACAGTTTTGTTTGTTTTGTCTTAGCATTTAAGTGTTAATGGCAAAGAAACTGTAATTACAGAGATTTGATTTCCAACAGGTAATACAAAAATTATTATTACAGGCCTCCAGCCACCTACACCCCACTGACAAAGGTTCAGAATTTGCCATTGGTCCAGAATTTTTGCTACTGTTTTCTCATTTGTCTTATGTTGACTAATTTCCCATCATAAACTGTGGAAATAACCCATCGAAGGTTATAAGACCATGCAGAATATGACATAAGTTATGTTAGCTTTCACTATTGACCTATGCTGTTGTTACATAGAAAAACTGTAGCTTAACTTTTATTCCAAATCTTGCACCTTATTCTTGAGAGAACAAAAATTGGCTGTTGAAAAGGTCCAAAGCACCAAAAGTTAAGTATTAAAGTTAACTGTTGTTGTTGTTGTTATCCATAAATTTTCAAGAGAGGCTAGAAAAAAATCGTGAAGATCTACATTATTTTTTATTATGTATTAATAGTTTTTTATTCAAACGGCCAAGCTCTGACTGAGAAAAGCGGAATGTGCTGGCCAGGGGTGCGTTTAATAATAATAGTAATGATTATTTTTATTATCAAGTATATTGTTTATTTAATTTACATTTTTTTGAAAAGTCTACTTTAACAATTTGACACATGCAAACCATTGCAGAAATGTTCTAACCAACAGGCCCTTGTCATACAGTACAGATACCTAATAAATATCCTACTATAAATTAAAAGCATTAATGTTTGCTATATTTTTTGTTTTCACAAGCTTTGGCGATGTAACGTAAATTCCACTTTTGAATAATAGGTCATCTACAGCTTTCATCATGAGCCACGGCTGTGTTTAAATTTGCGATGCAGTTTGCGAATGTTTGTTGCAACGATGTTTGTTGTAACAATGGAACTTGCGACCCAAGTAGGTTACGATGGTTAGCCAATTTAGGATTGGATTCCAGTTTGGTATGTATGTAATAAATGAAAACAAGCTAAATTAAGTTTATATATATATATATATATATATATGTGTGTGTATATATATATATATGTGTGTGTATATATATATATATATATATATATATATATATATATATATAAATTTCTTTATTATAAATATTTTGGAAATTTTTTGTACATCAAATTTTGAGCATCCAACAAGCTAATCCAGCTAAAAGTAGTGCTTAAAATGTCACTAAATAGAGTATTTAAATATCATAATTACATAGAAAATGAATGAATAGATGAATAACTGCAAAAACAGTTCACTTTTGGAGAAAAAAAGAAGCACCCCTTTTACCAGGCTGGCTACGGGCCTGCCTATGTGTACAAAATACTCCATAGCTGTTTGTGTTTATATTTTTACATTCTTTATGCAAAATAAATTGTGTATTTTCCTGTCAGCACAATATGTTTTGTTTTATTTGTTTATTTTTTATTTTGGTTTCATTTCTCTGGTTAATTTAAACTCGAATGAATGCGCAAATAGTTATTGTTGCATGATTATATACATTATTGCATACTGTTATCACTATTAATAAGAACGTAGCCACATTTCTGTGACTTTCCCCATTATGCGTTATGGTATGCCTTATCATTTAGTACTATACTATGCAAATTTACATTATTTGAACGTAAATCACTGCTGTCCCTCTCCCTATGGGATGATTCTGTTTGGCGCAGAAGGTGACAGCAGGTGGAGCGAGCTCACACTACACTACCCGTCATCCCGCGTGCACAGCTCGCTCATGTATATTTATGAGGCGTTTCTGCAGTGAGGCGGCTGGATATTATTGATGTCTCGCTGAGGAGGTGGTGGCTTGTGCTCGGCGGAGAAAAAAAGGGCCTGAATTTAGTTTTCCAGAACGACTAGTCATCCGCCCGCCGCTCGCGCAACCCGCGTCTCGATGCAGAGGCTGCTCGCGCTCGCGTCACTAATGGCAACCAGCGCGCGCCAGGATGCGTGTGCCTTTATGAGGGAGACCGAACATCGCGTCTAACTTGGGATTTAACGCGTATATCGAAAATAATTGGGATACATGTGATTAAATGCGATTTTTCTGAATCGAATGGATGCGGGAACGATGCCTCTCCGTGTGGGGATTTCCTTACTGTGCCTCTTCATGAGCTCTGTGGTACATACCAGCATGTCTTTGGCTCATTACGGTAAGGGTGTATTTCTGATGTATTTCACCTCGATGACAAATAATTAGATTGTATTTTTTAAGAGTATTAGCAATGGAGCATCCATTTCAGGTCATGTAAACAATTGGGAAATGTATATAGCGTTAAATAAACGACCCCAACGCGCAGTTTATCTTACCAAAACTAATTAATATGTATTATTTCATACGTTTATTTATTAAGAAGGGAATATTTACTTGGTAAAAACAGGCCATCGTGTTTTTATGCTTCCAGGAGACGCCTTGGTAAAGACGAGGGCTCGGCGTGATGACGCCAGGTACCTCGGGAAAGAGAACACCGTACCAGTCCGGTTAGTCTACCAAATGGACGGAGACCGTCAGACCGCTCATGATGCTGTGAACACACGGATCCGAATGAGATCTGACAGTAAACAGGTGTGTGTTTTTCATCTCATGTTCGGATGTCATCAATGTGTGTGTCAGGGATGCTCTCTCGCCTCCCGTTGCCATTGGAGACGCGCTGCTCTTGAAATGATGTTGATGTTTTTTCCTCTTTTAACTCTCTCTCTCTGGGTTTTATAACTCAGTGTGATCTGAAAGCACCATGCAAATAATTCCAGTCGTTTAGAGCTGATCTAATGAACCAAAACAGCACACTTCTCTGGAAGATGCTGATGCTTAGGCCTCCTGAGGCATCTCGTGGCATCACAGCTTTGGAAACACAAAGGGCGCAGAGAGAACAAATGAACGGCTCCAGTCTTGGAGTAATCAGCCTGAATAATCATTGCTTTGTTTTTCTACATGTATATTACTATGTAGCACAGAAATGGCAGAAACTGATTACTGATCTGATTACCAATTCTGAGACTGATTACTCCATCCATTATTCAGCAAAACAAAGCTCTTAAAACCTGGGCCACGATGATAAAATGAAGACAAAAAACTGGCAAATGTGGGCTACTTTTGGTTTTTTGGTGAAGCGTGTAATGCTATTAGAGCTTTGTGTATGTGCTTTTCCTTTTGGTGTTGTATTGCTTGGCTTAAAATATATCACATTAAGTCATTCGTTAGCATTATATTTATTTATTTATTTTTTTGTATTATTATTATGCTATATTTATTCATTTAATGCTTGAAAGTAATGCTTCACATTTAAAAATTTGCTTAGAATTCAAATATTTTGTATTTGTTTTCTATTTAAAATTGCATATTTATGTATTTATTTATTTATTTATTTAATTTGTATTTATTTTTATTTTTAAAATGCTAATTTACTTAATTTAATGCTTTAAGGTAATGCTTCACATTTAAAAATTGACTTAGAATTCAAATATTTTACATGTGTTTTCTATTTAAAATTATGTATTTATATATTTATTTCATAAGTTTGTATTTAATTGTATTATTAAAATGTAACTTTTTATTAATTTAATGCTAGAAAGTAATGCTTCACATTTAGAAATTAGTTTTTTTTTCTTTTTTGTATTTTTTTTAGCTTAAAAGATAATAAACAAAAGAGCTGATATCCAATTAAATCATACACTATTTAATTCATGTAATGGTTGAAAGCAGTGCTTCACTTTGTTGAAATTTGCTTAAAATTAAAATGTTTATATTTGTTTTCTATAAAAAATTATATACATATTTATTTATTTACTTATTTAATTTGTATTTTTTTATTATAATGCTATTTTTATTAATTCAATGCTTGAAAGTAATGCTTCACATTTAGAAATTTGCTTGGAATTAATATATTTATAATTGAAGCATTCAGATGGAAAATAAACGTCTCAAACTTCCATAGAAAATAATAATTTTTCTCAGCCTCCTTTGTTTATGTTAAATTATTTTACTTTAAAGACCAGGAAAAGGACTTATTCTTTACCATAAATGTGATACTGAACATACACACACACTCTCAGAAATAAAGGTACACAAGCTGTCACTGGGGTGGTACCTTTTCATAAGGTACACATTTGTACTTAAAGGGTCCATATTGGCACCTCAAAAGTATATATTAGTACCTAAAAATTTTAAGAACATATTTGTACTTTTTAGATACTAATATATACCCTTAGGGTATTAATATGGACCTTGTATGTACAAATGTTAACCTTTTGAAAAGGTACCACCCCAGTGACAGCTTGTGTACCTTTATTTCTGAGAGTGTAGGAGCCTGATAAAAGTGGTCAATTTAAAGGACAATTTCAGATGGCTTTTAGAAGTTTTTGCATCTAACCTCTTAATTTTCTTTCTATTTAAAATGATATATTTATTTATTTAATTTCTATTTATTTTATTAATAAAATGCTAGTTTAAGTAATTTAATTCTTGAAACTAATGGCTTCACATTTAAAAATGAGATTTTTTTTTCTTTTTAGTTGTATTCCTTAAAAGATAGCCGATATCACATTAAATAATTCCCTACTTGATTAATTTTATGCTTGAAGGTAATGCTTCACATTTAGAAATTTGCTTAGAATTCAAACATTTTATTAATTTTTTTTTGTAAAGTTGTTTTTATTTTTGAGAGAGAGAGAGAGAGAGCTCTGTAAAATATCTAAACATTTGGGTCCATCATGGCTGCTCGGATACTCTGTTATTCATAATTTGCATGACTAAGTAATTCTCAAAATCACAGACACACACAATCGCTTGTGAGCTCGTTACTGTAACGAGTCTGTCTGACCAGTTAGGATGTCTGTGCGTGTGTCCCGACGTCTCTGTTTTGTGCTTCAGGCACGTGTGAGGCTTAACCCTTTGTTTGTGCATCTGGGCTCTGTATGATTCCAGTGAAAGCTTTTCATCATGCCAATGCAGAGTATTGATTTTACCATTGTGCTGTTATATATGACCCTACATTAGAGATTAGATTAGACGCATGTGCAATATAATATATTTTTTTGTAAATACCTTCAGCTATGCTCGGGTCTGTTTTTAGCTGCACGTTTGACTCACAACAAGATCTTTTTGAAGACTGGAGACAGATTTATTTATAGAGATCCACTGATACATGCAGCAAAAATGGATTTTTAACTAATTTTAGACCTTCTTTATTTAACACAACATGCAGATCAGAAAAAAATCAAGCAGTTTTAGAATGATAATATGATGAAACAGCAATTGATGATGGCTATGGCATAATGGACAGAAAGCTGCAGCCTTCTCATCTTACACAGTTTCTAGAAAACACTCTCGATCTCTTTATTAGATTTGTGCAGGGGTTTAGAGTGTGCATCTTGTTTAGACGTGACACTCTCATCTGGGGGGCAGTAGATGGATGTGGGTGTGCCTCAGCGAGGGGAGATTCATTCAGAGGGTCACTGATGGGTGAAGTGTTAAGGATCTCCCCCTCCGTATTTCGTCCACCCCTTCGTTCTCCTTCCATTTTTATTGATAACTACGCTTTAGTTTGGGGGAGAGGTGTGTTCCCTGGGGAGTTTTAGACTCCCCTCACCTCCCACATACACTTCTATTTCTGCCCCTTCTGCCCTTCCTCCCTCACACACACACACACACACACACATCCACTCGCAATATATGAGAACAATACAACCCAAAAGCTTCTCTTTCCCCTGAGGGGGTGTTATACGGCCCTGGCCATATGGGCCCCAAGCAGGCACTGAATTAACCATTGGCGAACACATACACACCCACACAGCCACCAGTCCTGTACATCAAAGTGTACCTGTGAGGAATAAAATAAACAATTAGCACATCTAATTTTGCTTCTTTCTCTAGAAACACTGAAAATGTTCTATTTTTACAGTTTTTATTGTTGTAGCTCATGTGGGGCATCTTACTATTGAATATTAGAAGACGTTATAGCATTATGAATGCATTACATGGCTCGACACCTGAAATGTACAGGATCTTGTGACACTAAATACTGTAATAATTAATTAATAAATTGAACAAATAGAGCATATAATTTGAGCTCTTTCTCCTGAAATACCAAATTTGTTTTAATTTTTTAGTTTGTGATGCACCTTATTAAATATTAGAAGATCTGAAAAAAATACTACAAGAATGCATTAAATTGGTTGAAATGGGAACTGTAAAGGATCTTGTGACACTAAATACTGCAGTAACAAATTAATAAAACTAACAAAAAGTGCATAAAATTTGAGCTCTTTCTCCTGAAACACCAAATTTGTTCTAATTTTACAGTTTTAGTTTGTGATGCGCCTAATTAAATGTTAGAAGATATGAAGAAATACATAAAGAATGCAATAAATTGGTTGAAATGTGAACTGTAAAGGATCTTGTGACACTAAATACTGCAGTAGTAAATTAATAAAATGCTAAATAATGCGTATGATTTGAGCTCTTTCTCCTGAAACACCAAATTGGTTTTAATTTGACAGTTTTAGCTCATGAGATGCTTTTAATTTACTATACAACAAGAATCCAATAAATTCATTAAAAATCAAACGGAAAAGGTCATGTGATGCTAAATACTCCAAATAAAATTGTTGAGTAAAAACAATATTTGTTAAAAAAAAAAAAAAAAAAAAAAAATATATATATATATATATATATATATATATATATATATACATATATATATATATATATATATATATATATATATATATATATATATATATTTTTTTTTTTTTTTTTTTTTTTTTTTTTACTAATATTGTTTTTCAATGTTGAACATTGACGTTGGCCTGACATTTTCAAACAACGTCAATATGACGTCATGTTGACGTCCTGTGTCAGCTGGGATGAACAACATTTTTAAGGTTTAAAATATTTCAAAAATATTTTAATAATACAAAATATCTGTTGTTCTTTTGAACTTTCTTACTAAAAAAAAAAATTCAATACTGTAAAAAATGCTGGGTTCTACATAATCAATTTGTGTTGGGGCAACATGATGAAATAATTTTTTTAATAATAATTTTTTCGGGGTTTTCACGTTTAATTGGACAGTATAGTAGAGAGTATTGACTGGAAAGTGTGGGGAGAAAAGAGAGGGGAAGAATCAGCATAGGACCTCGAGGCAGGAATCGAACTCGGGTCGCCGTGAGCACAAGAGTGCATGTGTCGACGCTCTAACCATTACATGACAACATGATGAAATTAAGTTAACTTATTAGCTTTTAGAAATTTAGCATGTCATTTTTTGAGTAAATAATTAAGAGTTTTTTCAGCAGCAAATCAGTATATTAGAATAGTCTGGATTAATGAAAAAATAATAAAGAACAAATAAGCACATCTCCTGAAACTCTAAATATAGTATGCTCTATTTTGATGTTTTTTTTTATTGTTTTGTATTTAAAAGAAAATTCAGTGAGCATGCATTAAGTGTACAAAAAGTTACAGAACAGACAGTAACAATAATCAGCAGTTTTTCTCAGTTCATGTGAGATGTTCTTATGACCGAATTTAACTTTGTTTTATCTCTTTAACAGAACCACGTTGCTCAGGCGAGCTTCCAGGTGCAAGCTTTTGGACAGACCTTCATTTTAGACGTAGAGCTGAACCAGTGAGTATCTGCTTTCATGGTGTCATGCTCCTGTATGAGTTCAGAAAAAGTGTGTTTTTGCGAAGTATCCCAGTCGTATGATTAATGGCCGTCAGATCTATTTGCGAGAGGTTTTATGTTGCAGCTGATGGACTGCTATGATCATAATGGCTGTTGATTTATGCTGAAGGATTGGGAAAGTCCTGACCACTCTATTGATCATGTCATATTCTGCTCGCTTTTTCACTTGCTGTCAGGAATTCTTATACTACATGTTGTCTTAATACTGATAAACGTCATTATTTGCAGACTGCAGAGTTGCTTGGTTGACCAGTCAAGAAATGGCTGTTTTGGCATTTAGTTATTTTTTAGATTTTGAATCCAAAATGCATCATTATATACCGTTGAAGTCAGAATTTCTGTTTAACGGAGAGCAGATTTTTTCAACACATTTCTAAACATAACAGTTTTAATAATTCATTTATAATAACTGATTTATTTTATCTTTGCCATGATGACAGTAAATAATATTTTACTAGATATATTTCAAGACACTTCCATACAGCTTAAAGTGACATTTAAAAGCTTAAATAGGTTAATTAGGCTGGTTAGGGTAATTAGGTAAATCATTGTATAATGATGGTTTGTTCTGTAATCATGCTTGCGAGGGTTAATAATATTGACCTTAAGATGGATTTAAAAAATTAAAAACTGCTTTTATTCTAGCCAAAATAAAACAAATAAGACTTTCTCCAGAAGACAAAAATATTATAAGAAATACTGTGAAAATTTCCTTGCTCTGTTGAGCATCATTTGGGAAAAATTTAAAAAAGAAAATATTTTGTCTTGTGGCTAACAACAAATTGCAGTGTGCTTTTGTGTATAAAAAATTTATTAAATAAATAATATAGTATTTATATATTAATAAAATAAAAATGTTATTATTATTATTATTATTATTATTATTATTATTATTATTATTATTATTATTATTATTATTATCATTTTGAATGGTTAGTTTTAAGTTCATTCATTTTAAATAAACAAATATTACTTTCATTCATTCATTCATTCATTCATTCATTCATTCATTCATTTTCTTGTCGGCTTAGTCCCTTTATTAATCCAGCGTCACCAAAGCGGAATAAACCGCCAACTTCCAGCAATTATTTTTATTATTACTATTGTTAATAACAACAACAACAACTATAATAATAATAATAATAATAATAATAATAATAATAATAATAATAATAATAATGACGATAATGATGATGATGATGATGATGATCATGATGATGATGATGATGATGATAATAATAATAATAATAATAATAATAATAATAATAATAATAATAATAATAAATAACATTAGAGTGATTTCTGAAGAATCGTGTAACTCTGTAGACTGGAGTAATGAAGCTGAAAATTTATCTTTAGAATCACTGGAATCAATGATTAAATAAAATGATAAACTACATTTGATAAGTTATTTTATAGTGCAATAACATTTCACAATTTTACTATTTGTACTTTATTTTTGATTAAATAAATGCAGCCTTGATGAGCAGGATAAGCTCATTTTAAAACATTTAAAAGTCCTACTGACCCCAAACTTTTGACTGGTAGTGTACATTCAGTCCATTAACTCTTACTGCTACAACCACAACTGCCTCTGTACTTTACACTGGTGCCAGACAGAGTCCCAGTCAGCAGATTTGATCTCATTATAATAATGTATCATGAATATTTCAGTGTTCTCTCTCAGTGTCTGTTTGTTTCTCCTAAAACATCTTGGTGGAGAGAAAATCTGGCTTTAATATGCAACCCCCTTTCTGTTTTTGTAAGTTTTTGTGAATGTTGAGTGTTTGTGTTGTGCTGCTGGCATTTTAAAGTAGTAGTTTATTATGGCTAACTAAAACTAAAAACATTAGAAATGACATTACTTGAAATAAAATCAGCTCAACTAAACACAAGATATTAGTCATATAACGATAACACCAAATAAATAGCATTATTATATATAATAATTTATAATATAATTTTATACAATATATTAAAGATGCTGCATGTAAATTTTTCACTCTTCTAAAGCATAAAAACACCATCATATGTTTGCAGATATTTAAGAAATAAGCCAAGTGAATATTCTTGTTTATCTGAAAAACAATGCTGAAGTCAGATATTCTGCTTTGAAAATGTGTGTTACATGCTGGAAAGCTGCCTTTGTTTTGGTTCTTTTAACCCACCTAATGCCAGTTTAGCTAATTAAATTTCAACACCTCAGGTTGCTTGGTGGAAAACCGTGTATTTCATTCATTCATTCATTCATTCATTCATTCAGAAAAGCTCTGAAAGCATGCATCCCTGACTGAAATGCGACCTCCAGTGGGCAATAGCAGACTGCGAAATGAGACGGAGATTCAGTTCCACATGAGATTATTAATTAATAAATAATATGAACCTAAAAATAAGAATAATACCAATCCTAACAACACGCTACCTGACGAGATTTGCAGTGATATGCAGTTTAATTGTTTGCACTAGACACAACATGACAGAAATTTAAACGCAGCCATTTAGAAGCACAGAATAGTGCACTTACTGCACTCCATTGAAATGATAAGGTTGAAAATCTAATTAATACATATTAAACCTCTTAAAATTATTAAATGTAGGTGCTGAATCGCTCATATGTGTTGGTTTGCATTATTTCACAGTTCTAAAGTTGAATTTCAAACAGGTTTATTTTCCAGATCTGAGGTGATCTGCTGCTGCTTTCAGTAGTATGGCAATAAATGTCATGTAAAATGGCATTCAAACTCGCATTATTAGCATTTAACACTGAATAAAGCACATGAGGTGTACCTGAGGTGATCATAGTCAGTTTATCCTGTTGTTGGGCTGCAAGAAATAGAAGCCGTTTCTAAAAATTTAATTTCTGCTGTTGATTAGAACAAAAACTGTTAATATGGAAAATATTCCTTCTATTGTTTGCCGTTGCTTTTTGTTAAAACAATTTAAATCTGCTTTTCAAGAGTTCACACTTAGCCGATGATTGATAATAAAGCTTGTTTGGGATGCTGTCCAGGGAGAGAGCTGTGAGCTCCGGGGCTCCCTCCTGTTTGCAATGCAAGGGGGGAGTTTGAGCTCAGGTACAATTCGAGAACTCCCCTGCCGTAAAAATAATGTATAAATAGCGATTGCTCTCAAGAGATAACTACTTACTAGGAGCACGTCTATGGTGCCGATTTGGATTAGTTGCATGTTTTTGGACAGTGGGAAGGAACCCGGGAGAAACCCACGTGAGCACGGGGAGAATGTGTAATCTCTGCACAGAAACATCAGCTGGCTTGGTAAGGACTAGAACCAGTGACGTTCTTGCTGTGAGGCAACAGTGGTAACCACTGGGCCACCGTGCCACCCATCTAGGAACGGAGGAGGAGTAGGGGTAGAAGGGGGGGTTCTTCAAAATGTAGAAGGCTGTTATATAGAACTTAGTGTATTTATAGTGGCTTAGGAGTCGTCTGATTGGTGAATCATAAATTGAATAGTGTGGGACCAGCTCCAAGCAATTATAAGCATGTGATCCTCTCAAAATTAGTTTACTTAGACTCTATAGTCAGGCACACTCCTCACAATCTGGCAACCTGCACTTGTGTGTGTTTGATCCAGGCCTGCAATACCTACTTCAACCACTGGGTGTCAAACTTAGATACTGCACTGCATACTTAGTTATGCAAATCCTACACAAATGGGTTTGAAAATGCAGAAACATTTACATTGGGCTGTGTTCTAAAAGTTATTAGGTTAATGCTAATTTAAATACACTCATCACACACAAACATAAGGGAAAATTATTCTCGCATATCTCAGTATTTACTCAAGTGCTACGGTATGTGTGTGCAGTGCATGTAAAGCATATTGTGTTATTACAGGATGTGCATACTGTACTTGTCCAGCATGATTATTCTAACCACATGTTCAGGGAATTGTTTAGTTTGTCCACAACACTAAACTGTTGTCTCACTGTCAAAAAAATTAAAGGAGTGATGTAATGACAACAAACGACAAATAGGTGCCCTCATTGATTACTGCAGATATGAAGGCATTAAAGTACAGCCGAAAATCAGTTTAAACCAGTAAAAAAAACTTTTTATGTTAAGCACAGGTGGCACAGTGGCTAAGTGGTTAGTATGGCTGCCTCACAGATGGTCGATGGTTCGAGTCCCTTTCTGTGTGAAGTTTGCAAGCTCTCCTCATGTCTCTGTAGAGTTCCTCCGCTTGCTCCGGTTTTCCCCACAGTCCATAGTGTGTGAATGAGAGAGTGTGTGGGTGTTTAACAGTACTTGGGGTTGTACTCTCAGCACTGGGTTGTGGCTGGACATCCGCTATGTATTTGGAGTAGTAATTGGTGGTTCATTTCATTGTGGCGACTCTAATAAAAAAAAAAAAAATACTGAAAGCCGAAAGGAAAGTGAATGAGTGTTGAGCATAACTTTTGAAGAGAAATAGTGCTGACACTGGGCATCACCTTTTTTACGTAATATGGGATTAGATTTTCTAATAATGGCCAATGTATGGTAAACAGTACTTTGTTTTGTACAGTTGAATGCACAGCCTTCCATAGGTTTGACCATTTGAGTGCGTATGTACATGAATGTTCGACAAATCCCAGTTCAGTGTTCAGTTCAGTTCAAACTTGTGGAGAAATAAATGAGTAAAAACATTTCTAAATACATATATGCATATTTAGAAAAAATGGGGTGTATGTGAGCTGTGTTAATGTCACAATTTTTGTCATGTGGACTGCACACATAGGGCTCTATTTTGACTGTCCATGCGCAAAGTGCAAAGCACAGGCGCAAACGCATTCAGGCCATGTCAGAATCCTCTTTTGCTAATATGAGGATGGAAAAATCCGCTTTGCGCCGTGGCACATGGTCTAAAAGGGTTGAGCTTATTTTCCTAATGAGGTGTGTTTTGAGAATAAACCAATCAGAGTCTCATCTCCCATTCCC